CTTTACAAGAGTTGTGTTCGAGAGATTCGAAGTTTGGTGCGGTTGCATCCTTAGGAACCATCTACCTGAGGGAGCCCCCGTTACAGCCGTTGTCTCCAACGCTCCGGCCCTTCCATGGCAAGGACACTGACAAGAAACCCATATCGGCCCTTCGGGATGGGATTTATTACTCCAAAGTTCATTCCCTCCGTAAGTATAAAAACTGATATTCCGCTCCGGAAAGTATATGCTCCTGGTTTCCTGGAGCCAATAAACACCCATCCGACCCAATTAAGAGAGCCTACTCCACGATTCACGCAATTGTTTTCAAGACCCCGTCCCTATTCCACGACAAATACCACCGCCCTCAGGGAAGGCCCACCAACATCTCCACCCACGAACTCAAATTCATTCCCATGTTCTATGCCCCCCCCCCCCCCCCACGAGGCGCAGGCAGCACGGTGGGAACTTAGCCCCTAACACGAATACACACTCATCCCAGGGTTTATCTGTAGGCGTAATGGAGCATATTGTAGCCTCCTGGATATTGGTTATCTCAAGATGTTACAATGCGCGGCACCCTCCCATAATCCTAACATATACATTCATTTATTACCACCCCACAGAATACCATTACTACTAAACTACTGAAATAATACGCGCCCAATGGAGTACCCACCAGTCTAGCATATGAGCCTGTATATGTACCGTACAGCTAATCATTTCTCCTCTTTGTCCCCCCTTCCTACTTGCCTTCACCCCTCAATAGGGGGTGAAATCGGCCTCCCCCCGTAGTCCATCCTCCTGCAACCCTCTATCCTGCTTTTTGAAACTCCAATATACAACATCAACCTGCTGTCCCAGCATGGCCCACAATCAATCCCCCATGTATGCCCAGGTGGCCGGATACCAATTCTAGCCCCAAGCAGTGAGTTGTGGTGGGAAGACGGTATGGCGTAAAATTTCCACCAAACTTACGTCTCTTGTTGTATTGGTGATGGTAAATCCTCTCTGCACATCCTCCCCCCACTCACCATCTCTCTCGGTATGCCTTTTTCCCCCTTTCCTCCGTCCGAAGATTCCTGGGCATGGTCTAGATATAATATAGAGAAAAACACACAGTGCAGGTATTCCTGACACTTGTGATAAGCCAGCTGTTGGTTAGATGTTTGGATTGTTGGCTCCCACAAGGGACCCAGTTTTACGAAGATACTACTACTGCCATCAAGGGGTAAATTCAGAGATGAGGTTAAGCGACTGTCCGTACTTTTTCCCCTTACGTATCAAGAAAAATTAATACCGTAATTCTTCTAACTACGAAATTAACTTTCATCCTATAAGTGCCATACAACACCGAAAAATTTACAATGTAGCTAATTACCTAATGTATTGCCATAGATCCAGAGCATCTATACACCGTGCGGTTACAAGAGAAGTGTCCAGCGTATAGCCTACACTGGCCTATTTTCTTCAGCCCGCCCATATTCTGCTTAGCCACACGGATTCAAATGTCGCTCAACAGCCCACATTATAACCTCTGCTTTCTCAACTCATGTGTACAGTTTAACACTTTAATAAACCAATCTGCGTCCCCAAGTTCATAGTCAGTTTTCCGAGCCAGTATTGTATCTTGCCTCAATTTATCAAAAGTAATCCAAAAGTTCATAGCACTTCACGATACCAACTTACGAGCAAGCCAGAAGGAAGGCATATACCATCCCCCCCAGCCCCCTTTTACCGACCACACTTTCTTTCTTTCTTCCCAGAACATTCCGTCAGATACGCAGATCGGGCGTTCCAAACTTATACAATCCACCGGGCCCAGGACGAGCAGCTCTGTGATACCTCAGAACATCTATATTTGACTAATGCCATGTATAACAGTTAACTGACACCATATTGTAAACCACACTGCAAAGGTATAATAACAGAAAACAGCATCTCAAACTATAGAATTTAATGCCGCATGATAGCATATTGTGTCAAAGGAGTTCAGATAGCAGAGGCTGCTGATGATTTAAGTATCCTTGCCGCAAGTAGAATTTAGACCACATACCCTCAGGGATCAGAAAATGAGTAGGTAAAAGACATGAATACTAAGTTTTTGCAGAACACAGTAAAGATTGCATTCAGCATTGCTGGGGTGCCAAGTTTGATCTAAGGTGCTCTTGCCCATAATGCCTAGGTGCCTAGGTTAATTGTGCTCTGTATTTAAAAACAGAAGCTCGGTTTTTCCTTTCTCCTCCGTATACCATGTATAAAAACTCACCCCCACCCCTTACATTTTCATTGCGATCAAAAGTTCTTTTTTATATATAATACTCTCCCGGTTAACAGCGTTCCCCAAGTATAATGTAAGTTACTATACTGTATCATATTAGAACACATCCTCCCTCTAATGCCTCAGTCAAAATCACATGCTTTGACCGCCCCAGTCCGCAAACTACAGTAGATAACAAAAGCATCATGTGCAATCTTAAGTGATTGGCCTAGGGGTCAACATCTCTAGCTAGCCGCATGACTTCAACGCAGGATTGCGAACATACTATTGTAAGTAAACCAACCCTACCATACAACCCAAAGTAGCTCCGAGTCATATCTGGTGAATATAAATGAATTAATTTATAGATTTGATTATGATAAGCCACAATCAAGGCCCTACAGCCTATGCTGGTACTGTACTCAATTATGACTCCTCTTCTATAAATTGAGTCAATGGACCTCTCTTCCTCCTCTTCGCTCTCTTTCCCACCCACCAACCCACTCATCAACGCAACCCCTTCGACAGCTTTATATCAACTATCTCTTCCCCTCTGTCCTCCAAACTCCAAACTCCAAAAATCAAAACCACCAAACCATCAAATAAGATGTTTATCTCAAAAATAACCTTCCTCCTCCTTTCCTTCGTGGCCTTTATATTGCCAGTCCTTACCCACCCAATTGAAAGCAACTCCGAAACCCAGCTCTGGAACTCACCTGAAGCTCTGGCTGCCCTCGCAATCATCAACGACCCAACCCCAAAATTCCTCACCAACATCACCTTCACAATGAGGAAACACTTCAGAACATCACCATGCAAACGTCCTACATCTGTGAGACAACTTCCGGATCCCCAAGTGTCCACTGGGTTCGCGAAGTATCTGGAGAACTGCGTGGGAAGTATAAAAACTCTATGTGTATGCAGCGGAATGCATTTGGAAGCAAGTGCACAAAACTCCATGCCCTCGGGGATGCAGCACTTAGCCTTTGCGGGGTCTTATTCCGCTGGTACTTTTGCGATGCTGCTGGGTTTGCTGGGTTCTGGATATCGGATCATTGCGCCTGGAATGGGTTGGCTGGTGGGAGGTTTATTTATGACGACATTCCAGCGATGACACTTGCAGTTCACAAGAACTAAGGGTGGTGGTAGAATTGGAAAAAAAAAATGTGTTTGAGAATTGGGAATGGTTGTGTAGCTATCGGTATTGGAAAACAAACTACTAGCGTCCTATAATATCATGTCCTGTGAACAGAATGAGAGGTGTATCTCTCTTGTATGATTGGATGGCCAACTCCTGACCCTCTGAGAGATGAGTGCAGCCCGGGCCGCCCAGAAACGTAGGAACCGGTGAGAAAAACAGAGAATCTTAACTCTTGCATAACGAATTCTAGTGTCACGGAAATGAAGCCATAATACCATACTGTGACCGGCCGTCAAATGCGCTGCAGCTATCGCAATGAGGACGGAGGCACTCCCAACCCGTCCTCCCTCATTGCCACGGGAGGACTCAGAAGGGAGTGTGGATATGCGTAAAGGAGATGAGAAATTTGAAGTAATCCCTAGAAGAACCAAGGTTCTTTCACTACGCCTTACATATACACCATCTTTACAATAAGTCAAGAGTCAGAACCAGAAGAAAAATGCATGTTACTTCACTTCCCAATACCTCCTGTCCTTTCTCCGAAAAATAGCCATGTGAATCCGCTCATTTTTGCTACTACCCTATTAACGGCTTCTCCAGAAAAAAAAAATAGCCTGCGCTGTCGCATCTATCTTCTATGGTTAACCAGGTTTTTAGCATCCAGAGTCGGTCCCACCTCAACACATCACCCCTCCCGCCCCATTTGGACCCCCTCGTTGTAGACTACTGCGCACGCTGGTAAGCAGAAAGTCACATCCCCATATTTTTTTTTCTCTCATCCCGGCTCTAGTCAAAATTCCTAGAGTGGGAAAATGACTAGACCGAAGTCCCAAAGAATAGAAAATCTTGAAGTAGTTCAATTGCACCCCCTCCGCCAGAAGACTCATGTATTCCCCCTATTATCGGGACTCGGCACACCTACCCACCCACTCACCCGCCTACTTGGCGCCCTGGAAGCAGTTGATTCCAACATTCACCTCCCTTACCCGCAGGAGCACAGGGCAAGGAGCAAGAATTGATCCTCCATGCCCTGCTATACCCCTCCAAGCTACATCCTCCACTTGAAAATAAACACGGATGTCCCGCCCTCTGGAGGTGAAACAGCACGCACAAACGTAGGCCATATTTGGCGGGCCATAAATATCTATATTCCACTTCCTCTGCTTACACCACATCCCAACTTACATCAGGGCCCCTGATGGCCTTTCCGTTTCCGTTTTTGCTTTTATGACGCCCCGTTTTCGCTACGGAGGTTGGTAACTTAGCCGATTTGCCGGCACAGCTTTATTTTATTTTATTCTTGTACCCACCGGCCGATGGCATTCAAGTCTTAGCAAGATATATATATAATGGCGCTCCAGAAAGTGCCTTGTCGCATTATACTGTAATTGATGTCCATATTCCAAACTCCCCGAATCGTGGTTCCTACAAGTTTCCCTAAAGTTAGTACAGTCATAGGAGTACCCGTGTTGGCTCGGGTCCTGCGATGGCCTTTTGTCAAGTCGACTGTAGTTAGGGAAGTGGTAGAACGATATTAATTACGGTAAAGGTCTTCAATGCCACAACCCCGGCGTGAAAATATCTACAATGCCACAACGTGTTAGACTAGTACCGGTAATGAAAATTTTTGACCATGACACAACTCATCACTTTCTTTCCTTCCTGAATTTTTGCGGATGTTTTCCTCCCCTGATCCTATGGTGGCGGCCTTATCTAGTCTCCATCCAACTCTGGCCTTGGGGAAATGTTTCTCTTCCTTTGGTGGAGTCGCAGGGGTTTTGCATGACTGGTCTGGTGGTGAAAAGTTCAGCTACCAAGTTTCCAAGTGAGATTCAACAAGAGGAATCTATGTCTGCAAGGTTCCAAACTGCCCATGGATGGACAGCCTGTGTTTAGGGGGGTGTGTACGAGTACTTATGTAAACAGTTGTAGGGGGGGCGTAAAAATTAGAGACTGAACTAGTCTAAAGTATTGTGGCATTGTAGATATTTTCATGCCAAGGTTGTAGCATTGAAGACTTTTACCGTATTAATTATGCTCCAGAAGCACAGGCAGTTGATAATACTGGCGCCACCGTCGGTGGCCCCCTTGTCTGAACATAGACCCGGCATCACACTCTGTGTCGAGGTTCAGTGGGCTACATTGCATTGACTTAACTCAATATGCTATAATACCTGGAGCCCCCCCACTGAGTCTAACAATAATATTGTACATTATTTATTACCATTCCATGGCACCTTCACCGAATGATGCCTCATGATGCAAAACTACCGCAAAACCCACCAATCTAGCATACGAGTTCACATAAATACAGCCCCTCACTTCTCCTCTTCCTCCCCTTCTCCCTCCTTGCCCTCACCCATCTCCTTCTCCCTCTCCCCGGCAGGCAAATTCGCCAAATCAACCTCCACCTGCCGCCGCCTCTCCTCTGCCTCTCTAACCGCCTCTTCGAAATCCCTGTATACAACATCAACCTGCTTCCCCGGTAGCGCCTTCAACCGCTCTTCCACGCGGACCCAGGTGTCCGGATACCAGCTCTGAGCCCAGACAGCGACTTCCTCCTTCCGCTTCTTGATCATGGTGGTGTACAGGGCCCCCAGTCTTCCCTCCCCGAGTCAGTTACCATCACAAAAAAGCACCAAGCTAGGACGAGAGGGGAGGGGAATAAATAAATTACAATCGAACATCAGGCTCCACACCCTCTCCTTTCATCTCCTTGGCAATCTTCCACCCTTCATCCCACATCCCATTCCGGCCCAGCGCTTCCACGTACGCCGCATAATCCCTCGCAGTGAATCGGTACCCCGCAGTGCGCAACTGGCCCCACAGCACCTGCGCCCGGTGAATCCCTTCCGGGAAGCGTGAGCACGCATCCAGAACTATTGCTACACTCTCGTGATCCGGGCCCTGGGCCGAGCGCCGGATGTTTTCCCATATCTCCATCGCTCGTGAGGGCAAGCCACAGGCGACGTACGCTGTCATTAGTGAATTGAGTAGTCGGGTGTCTGGGTCGAATTGGGGGTCCAATTTTAAGGCGTTGTGTACCACGCGCAGTGCTTCCAGGTCGCGGTTAATTGCCACACCCAGGAGCGCGGCGCGGTAGGTGCTCTTTGACGGTTTGCGCTTCCGCGACTGGCGCATGTGCTGGAATACCATTACGCCCATGTCGCTGCGGCCCAGATCGAAGAATAGCGACATCAGGTCTGTTCGCTGGCGGATGGTGGCTTCGGGAAAGACTTGGTAGAGGATTTGGTAGGTATCCCAAGCTGCCTCGACGCTCGTGCTTGAGCTCGAGATGGAGTCTATCATTTGGGCGATGATCCGGGATTTTTCGTAGTTGTTTGGGCTCTCGCGAGTGAGGAGGTTGATGACCTCCTTGAAGGAGCAGTCTTCCAGCAGTGTGCGCAGGAGTGGACAGAGGGTTCCAGCGTCGAGGCGGACGTCCCAGTCTAGGAGGTCGGTGTGGATGGTTTGGATGGTCTCTTTGTCGAGGATAGGTTGGGAGCAGAGGTTGCGGAGGAGGTGCTTGACTTCTGTTGCATGGTATCCTCGTGGGATCGACTCGGCTTTAAGATCTTCATAGGCACCCAGGGCTCCCTCGATGTTGCCTTGGTTAATCTTGTGCTCCAGCTTAAGCTCGAAGGTCGTCCTATCGTGATTGAATCCCCGGCTGTCTGCTATTGACAGGAAGTCTTCGAATGGGAAGTTTGGTCCTGCTACCACCATGCCCGAGCGGAGAACGTTGTTTATCGTGGCCATGTCAGGCGAAGGTAATATTTCTACCTCTTCCGCCCTCTGTGCCATCATATCCAACAATTCGTCCACCTTCCCGGGATCCGCACCGAGTACTAGGTGCCATCGAAAAACCACATCCCACGCCTCCTTCCCCATATGCAACCTCTCCCTCTCTCCCAGCAACGTATCCATAATCTCACTCCCCCAAGCATAATTCCTCGTTCTTAAACAAGCCTTGAGTGTCTCCACATACGCAGAAGCAGTGGGCCCCATTCCGGACTCCACAATCTTCCGATACCACACCTTCGCCTTACCCAGCTCCCCCCTCTCGCAGTACAACGCGATCAGCGGTGTACACAATTTCGGATCCATCTCTATCTTCGACTTCTCTAACCTCTCCCAGATCCTCAGCAAAACCTCCTCATTCCCCTCAGACGAGAAGCCCTCAAGAACCTTCTCCCAAACAACCCTCTCGTTTTCCAACCCCTTAAACTTCCCAGAAAACTCCTCCGCGACCTCCAATGCCTCCGCAGAATTCCCTGTTCGGGACAACATGTGCACAATCATGACAATATCCCCATCAACCAGCACCCCCTCTCCCGGCGAACCCCTCAGCGCAGAGAACATTGCCCGGGCCAGGAGGACCTGGTTCTCCGTAGTTCCTCTATACACCACCGACAGCGCGTTGCGCATCGACTCGGCCGGAAGACTGCCTACATGCTCGTAGACCTTCAACAGCCCATAAGCATAATCGTCAACAACAGTAGATCCCTGGTGCGCCTCCACAATCCCGCAGAACGCTTCCTCCAGCTCCCCATTTTCCGGCGGTCGTCCGATCTGGTCGTTCAGGTAGCGTGATAGCTGTCCGATGGTGATGATGTCCCGACGGATGGACTTCCATGTCCGTGGATGGGCGCGACGACGCCAATTCCACAGGTGAGACACGGGTTGGCGAAAGGATCTAGAGAGTTGTGGGGGAGTTGGGTGGGTTTTCCTCGGCGGGGCCGAAGGGGCGAAGGGTATTATGTGGTGGAAGAAGCATCGGAGGTGGAACAGGGATCCCCGGCGGGCTAGGCGGAAATTGTACGGGCGCATAATGCGCGGAACAGCGGGCGTGGCGTGACGAATGGAGAGACGGATGCGGGGTAACGGTAGTGGAGGGGAGTTAGAGGAGGGGCAGGCGGCTCTGTTGTCAGTGAGCGTTTGCTGTGGGGATTTCGCTTGCAGCGGTAAGTTGCCGCCTCTTCGAAAAAACGGGCAGTGGGGCGGGTCTGCCGCTCCAGGAGGATGCCTCATGGCGAAGATGAGTGACGGCCTGAGATAGCGGGCAATGGTCAATTCTTATCATAGATGATCCTACCAACCTTTCTAATTGAAAGCTGCAGACCGAAATCGGCCCGTGTTATGATACCCTGGGTAAATTAAATCCGGCATATCCATCACAGCCCATCACGCCATTGCGTTCCACTGATCAGTAAGTCATACAACTCCACAAAACCAACCATCTAACAACCTACACCAGCCCTAATTCAAGCCATCGACCCAGGATACCCCCATCCCCATTTCGCAAGCATAAAATTTAATAATGTCGGAAAATGGTAATTTTCCCGTGGCAAAAGGATACGGTATTCAAGCCGTTACAACTTCAAGCCCCGCCCCGCCAACGAGAGTATACTACATCCCACTACCATAGCTCCCCTTACCAATGTAACACTCCCGACCTACCACACTCCAGTCTAATAACTCCCCTCAGGGAAAACCTTCTCCTTCGTAACACCCTTCACCAGGCCTCTAGAGACGTAGTAGACCTCCCTCGATTCCTAAGAATCCAATCCATCAGCCGTGCATACCCTACCCAAACAACAAATAAATCAGAAAAGGAGCTCACAGATCTAGAAGAGTCCGGCTTGTCGCAGCAAACCGAGGCAAACATCAGCTCCAATCTCGCCCTCAACTCGTCCTCCTGATCCCCTTGATAAACCTTGCAAACAAAGACCCCAGGTCTCCTAAGCACGTCCATAGCGAATGACAGTGCGGTATAACACAAGTCCTACCCTTCATCAGCAACCCTCCCACCCAACCAGAAGCCAAGAGGATAGTGAGCGCACAATACTGTACGCATGATCCTGAACCGGAATCCCACTCGTATTCATCAACCTAATAAAAACGTTATCGAAACTCTTCCTATACGTAAGCGCAGGAATTGGCCAGGGATCCGACATGTCAGAAAGCACAACGTCAACCGGCCTCTCCATGCCAACATCGACATCATCCTCGCCGAACCCGGCCGCCCCCCCAAACTTCTCCTCGCGCTCAATGTCCCTCTCGCGATCCAGATAGTCCCTCTCTATCTCCACCAGCTCCTGCTCATCCACATCGCCCTTCCGCAGGTACCGCTTCTCTCGCATCTTGCCGCGCTCCGGGTCCATGAGGAACTTCTTCAGCAGCTCACGCACACCAACAGACTTCATAGAGCCCTGGAACGTGGATACCCCGGGAGGTGGTTGCGACGGTAGGATGTCCACGCCTATCACTCGCCCGCCCGGTGAGACCTTGTCGACGGCGACTTGGCTCCACGCACCTGGGGCAAAGCCCAGGTCTACGACTGTCTGCCCCCGCCTGAAGATTCCGTGCTTTAGGTCCAGCTCGATGAGTTTAAAACCGGCGCGGGACTTCAAGCAATCACGTTTTGCACGGTGCACAAAGACGTCACGAACTTGTCGCCGTTTCCATTGACTGGAGGAGGTGGAGTTATAACGGGTGCCCAAGGCGCAAGACGATCTCGGGGGATTTGTAAATACGGACGGGAGAGACAGGAATAGCGGGGGTGATTCTATCCGGCGCAGGGTGGTTATTGCAGCCATATCTCCTGTTTCTTTCAGAACGTGGGTGTGGTGGTGGTGGGGTCACGGAATCGAGTTTGCTCGGTGGTTAAGTCATGAGTTGAGCCGCATTCAGGGGGTGTCACTCGAACCCGTGACCCGCCCGCCCGTCACCCTAATATTGTTTACCAACCAGACAGAGGCCAAGGCGCAGCCAAATTGCGGGTTTTCGAGTCACGAGAACTCCACAGATACCGGTATCTTAAAACTCAGCTTCGAGAAAAAACATATGTATTTGACGTGTCTGAAGCATGATATATATTTATTTTAGCCTTTTTCTGTTATTTGTAGAGCCACAGGCACATGAACTGGGTAAGGTCAGCTTTCCCGTGTCGTGCAAAAACCACAGTCTTGGCAGATGCCTCATGCGAATGAAGATCCCACACCTCACAACTCTGGGAGGAGGGAAAGAAAAAATCCCACACTTTTTCACATGCATGCTATTGTAGCAGATTACTTATTGGATTTTTTTTTCTATGAAAACCCGTCACAGCTGGTATGCTGTGGCCCCTGTCTGGTTAATAGTCTACCGATAGCTTACTACCGGTAAACCGCCTCTATTGACCCGTGGCTCCACGCTCTAGGTCCTCTACACGATCAATTTCACCCTTTTTTCTTTTTCCCCCATCCGCAATTTAGCAAGCACCTCAAGCAACCTCTTCATCCCCTATCTCTCTTCTCCCCCAAGCATGCAAATTCGTAAGCCACACGGTCACGTCACACCCCCTCAATTGTCCCCCCCACCCCGGCGCAGCAAAAGCCAAATTTTAAGCGCAGGGGAGCCAAACCAAACATAACAAACCAACTACAAAGCCCATGAAAAGCTCCATAAAATGCTGTGCTGCGGAAAGGAGGATTACATCAATCACGAAAAAAAGAAGAGAAACACAAAAACCAAACAAACAACCAGAAAAACTGCCGGTTCAAGGGGACGCAGGTCCAAAGAGAAACCCACGCCCCTCTACACTCCAATACGCTAATTATATACAGACAGAAGCTATAGCCACCTAGTCATGCCCCACGCGAAGGTAAAAATGACAACGGCGGCGGGGGGTAAGGAGAAAAATGTAAAGCAAAAAAGGAGTGATGGAAAAAGAAGCGAAAAATGAATAAGAAAACCCCCGATTGGAAGAAAAAAGTGGCAATGATGAAAAAACCTACAGCAAAATGACGAATGCCGAATGTAGAAGAAAAGCAGAGAAAAAAACAGCACAAACCGACCGATCCCAGAAAAGCAGACAGGAAAACAATGAAAGTAGACGAAGGGAATATCCTAGCAAATGCACCAGAACCAGTATGTAAAAAACGGGAGAAAGGTATAAGAAAGAAAACATGCCCCTAACCAACAAGAACGAAACATGCAACAAAGCGAGAATATTTGCGCCCATCAGTGTGAAAAATATGTGGAGAAACTGGGCGCTAAAAGAACAAGAATCCCCAAATCCAGTGCTTTTTCTAAAATCATCTCACAAGGAACCATTCGCTATACCAAAAGAATCCCAATATACCACAGATCTCAGACCGTTGACCCATTGCCCGAAAGAAACTAGAAGAGACGCTATTCAGAACAGGTGTAAAAGTGTGACTCCACTACCGGTATCCCATCCACTTCTCACCCCCCTGTACTCTCCTGTTGCATTTCGTCTACGTTCCTCCAGATCATCAGCCCCAAGGAGAACTGTCTTCGGGCTTCTCCCAAATCATCATATCATCCGCCTCAGTAACACACGCTGAAGAACTATCTGGCCCCCAAAGCCCCTCGAAGATTGTTGCCGGAGACCTCCTTCTCGATTCGACCCACCTTACCGAATCCGTTTCCAACAATTGTGAAACTTTGGGCCGATGGTCTGGGTCCGCGGATATCATCCACGTAACCAATTCCTCCAATCCACCCTCCAACATGAAATCCGGGGGGTTCACCAGATCGCCGACTCGGGGCTGATGAAGCAGCGCGGGGTCCGTTCTGGTACGCAAAGCACGTCGGCTGATATGACGCGGTTGCGATGAGTCAGACATCCGGCTGTCCAGACTGGACGACGATTGGCTACCGAGCACGACCGTTGAGATGGGATTACCATCCTCATCGCGGACGACCAACTCGCCAGAAGAACTTGTGCTGAGAATGGGGGCTACACTGAGATCGCCACTGCGAAGGCTTTGCCATTCAGGCCCATTAGGAGGAAGCGCCTCGTTGCCGGCAGCTTCAATCATCGTCAGCCCAAGGGCAAAGATATCCACGGGCTTGTCGTATCTGTGCGACTCCAAGACTTCTGGGGCGATGTATTCCCGGTCGCCCTCACGCTCTAACTCCCGTGAGGCTGGCCACCGCGTTGCCATCCCAAAGTCACTAATCTTTAGCGCTCCATCAAAGGTAATTAGGACATTTGCAGGCTTAAGATCTAAATGAATAAAGCCCGAGTCATGGATGTGTTGGAGTCCCTAATGGATCACAATTAACTTGGAAGGGAAGTGAATGGCAGGGGGGAGGGCGGGGGCTTACCAAGCACAATTCAAGTAGAACCTTCCATACACGAAACTCGTCTAGTCTGCCTTTATTCCCATGCTGCTCTAGAAACTTGTCTAAGCTTCCAGTGTCGCAGAATTCTGTCTGAATGTAAAGGTATCCATCCTCATCCCAGCTATCCACAAACCCGAGAACGTGCTCACTACGCCCGAGTGATTTGAGAATTTTAACCTCCTCCTGCCGACGATCCTTCTCCCGGGCACCGAAATATCTAGATTTTGACTTCTTCACGGCGTACGTTTTCAGTAATGGCTCGCTACCCACAACCGGCGAGCTTCCAAACGGTGAAGAATGCTTTGGTGTGGCGAGTTGATGAGGGGTAGATGGATTGAGTGACGCAATGAAAGCGTTTCTACGTGGACGGCCCTCCGTGACTTGATAAACTTCCGAAAATTCTCCAGATCCTATGTGCTTGATCTCCGAAAATTTTGACAAGAAGCTGTCGGTAACCTCTACTGGCCGCCCGTCAAGTGATTGCACTGTTCGAGGTGGGCGCGGCTTAGCGGCACCAGCAAAATCGAAATGAGTTGAAAAGAAATCCCGGGCGGGTGTTGCTGGTAAGCTCATGCGGTGGGTATGGCTCGCCCGGCCGGAAATGGAAAGACTGCTTGGATCCGGCGGTTGGATACCGTCCTTTGGGGTTTGCGGTTCGAACCTCTCGTACCTGACTCTCAAATCATCCGCTAGATTCACCGATATAAGCAACAAGAACAAACGGGCATCAAAGAATTTAGTCGACTCACAGCTTTGTTCCGTTCGTGCTCGCTTAGCAGAATTGAAGATGCCTCCAATGTTACTATAGACCTTCTTAGTTGGTGTTGGGGGCAAGTCATAATCAGTGCTTGATTGAGATTGACCGAGATCCAACTCGTCATCAGTACTCAGCGTGCTGGCTTCTCTATCAAGAGTGCCAAATCCAAGCTTCACGCCTCCATCGTTATCACCGAACGGTGTCGACGTGTTTGCGAAATCAGTCATAGAGATTCTACTACCCCCCATGCCACTCTGGAAGGCAGAAGACCCAAATGCATTGTTTGGTCTTTTACAAGGCGTGTCCGGTTGAGGGCCGTGATCCTTATCTGCGTGCATAAGCCGCCCACGTTTTGGGACAAATCCTGTAGAGTGAAATGCCGCAGGGTTAGGCCTTGCGAATCGAAAGTTCTGGGGTGTCCGCCATTCGCTGGAGCCCTCGCCACTATCTTTCCTCGACTCTGGCCCTGGGGATCGTGATGAGAAAGTATTCTGTGATAACGGGTGGGGTTGATGGCTGGTTGATTGCGACGCAGTATTGGTCCCATGATGCGGGTGAATAGAGGCACTGGGTAACGACGAGCCGTTACTTAAAGATCCGCGTCGTAGGCTATGAAAGTTATCCACCGAAGTCACACGACGAATTTTGGATGCTGGGTCGGAAGGAGTGACAAAATCGTGCTGGCGAGCCAGTGGCCGAGATCGTGCAAAGGAAGGCTTCTCGATGCTGGATCCATGACCAGCCGATTTTTTTATACTATTATGCCTCTTCGGGGTTGTATTGTGGTGAACAGGCGTCGGTGATTGGCCAAACGAAGGCGATCCAAAAGTATGCTGTTGCCTATGTCCTGTACTATACAGACCAAATTGAGACCGTCGCTTCGCGACAGGCGACCCACGGCTCGCTTGATCCAAATTCATTATACCATCGCTTCTCTTGAGCGGACTTCCCGTGGACGGTGGGCTCTGAGCCCCGTTTTCCATGCCTAGCCCAGCGCGAGACTGGCGCTGTAGAGCAATTTTTTCACGAGGACTTGCTCGGGGGCTCGAGGAACCGGACCGAAGAGTCATGCCACTCGAATTCATGTGGCTCGTAGTCGTAAGCGAGAGCGGAAATTTTACTGGACTAACGGGAGCCGTCGACGATCCTCTTGATTTTAGTGGCGTTAGCCGTCTTGTACTCGATCGTGTTTTAACAGAGGATGGAATTGGAATCGCAAAAGGTGATGAGCAAGAAGTTGGTGAGCGAAGCATGTGATGCCGCGAGGGCGACGTTGTGTGTGGTGCAGAAAAGAGGGTGGCAGTTTCGCCGTGATGGCGATGAGGTGAATAGGACGCGACCATAGTACGTCGGAAGCGACACTTTCCCGTTGGTCGCAAAGGTGACTGTTGGATTTTAGGAGCTAGACTAGGGCTGGCTCCGTTGGGCTCTGCAGATGGTGATGCAAAGTCTTGTTTTTGTCGAGGAAAAAAGGATCGATGAGGAAACAAGATTAGAGGGCACCGGTACGAGTACGGGTATGAGTGATACGATACGCCCGATAATATTTAAGAAGTGGGTGGGTGGCAGGCGTGCTGTATTGTCGGGGGTTGACGCGTTAGCATTTACACACTCAGAGGAGCGCAGCGACCATAATTCAGGGTGTGTTGCCAACCAACTGCACCACAACAAACGAACGCGGAAGAACTCTAGGAATGATGGCTGACTCACCCAACCAATATCCACCTAACCACGTGAAAACTCGCAAGAAAAAAATAAAAATAAAAAAAGTACTCTTGAATCGACTCGACCACCAGGAAAATGCTCTCCAGGGCAAGAAGAGTTATAAAAATAAAAAATAAAGAGTGAAAGTGAACGAACCAAGAATTTGACAGAGAAAGCGAAAAAAAAGAGAATTATTAGTACCAACAAAGTTTATGAGACGGGTATCTCTCGGCCGGGTTTGTTTGTTTTCGTTAGTCTATCGAGAAATTATTGAAGGTTGCCCGGGTTATGTGTCCCGGTATCTGTTTCTGGTAGGCTACCCAACGAGCAGGCACTGAGTCGTTCTTCTATGTAATTTGTAGTATCGAGGCCGTTATCGTTGAAGAATCGTGGTGGAAAAAAAGAGAGAGAGAGAAATGATGTCGTCAAAAGAGAATCCAGGGCGATACCGTAACGCCTAGAATAACTCCCAAAAAAAGAGAAAAAGGTTCGCAGAATTGAATCAAAAAAATGGGTAGAAAGAATCCAAATCAAACGATTGTAATATGATGCGTTCCACGCTACCTTGGCTGCCTATCAAAGGGCTTGAGTTTCCTGGTGAGGATATCGGGTTCTGGTGCAATGAATCTAGTCGGTTTCGAATGGGTGGGATGTAGCGGGGCACAGGGACAAACCCTCTGACGAGCAACAACAAGAGTGAATGTAGAGAAATAGAAGGTCAAAGGAGTCACGAAGATAGTGACAGCTAAGGGGAGGGGGTGAGCGGATTGGGGGGGCAGGGGTAAGTTGCTATGAGGATGAGGAGTAGCAAGAGTGGTGAATAGCAGGAGTATTAGGGATGAACCAAAGTAGTAACAAGCTCTCACGCTATCTCACTCTTCCTCTCTCACACTCACCCTCACAGTGGTGCAGGAGTTGCAGTGGGGAATGCCTACGAAGTAAGGACTTCGCTTGCGGCAAGAGGGGCACGTAGGATGTACTCGAGTAGGAACGAGGGGACGATGATGAGGGAGGGAGGGAAGGGGAGGGGGAAAAAAAACAAAAAAACAATGTAGCCCCCGCTACAGTGCTCGAGTACCGTACGAGTAGAGCAACGGTGCTGCACTACGGTAGTACCGTACCGTACGCGCTTTTAGCTAGGAAAAGGGGGGTAGAAGCTTCGCTATGCTGCGCTCGATGAGGCCCCTTTCCTTCCGACTCTCCTCTTGAAGAAATTGTGTGGGCTCCTTGTGTCCGTTCTACTGTCGTCGCCGTCGATTTGGCACGAAAGGGTGACAAGCTGCAGCACCCCTCGTCTCCCCTCGTCTCAACTGGCACGAACAAACAAGCGAAAGAAATCCGGATGGGACTCTGGCAGGTAAGCTTCAGTTTTGTTTTGCTTTTGTCTCTTCCTTTTCGGACCTCTCAGGTTCCGTTATTCCCGGGCCATCGATCACTCCCTTTCGCCGTCGCTCAGGGCTCCAGGGCAGGAAAAGGGCGGACGAGGCCTGAAGACTTCGTCGTGTCCTTGATCGGGAAAGGAAGCGAACAGGAATAGGGGGCCCAGAAGGCAGGGCAATTGGTCCTTGGTTGGAAAAATTGATGGAAGCGCTCGCAGGTGCAGAGTGCAGCAATTGTCACGGGTTATCCTACTCGGTACAATAACTGGCGTGCTTATGCAGATGATGGGGCATGCATATTGCCGGTGCAGTTCAGTGCAGTGCGTATGGTACGGTATCACACTCGTACTAGTTCAGTGCGGTGCCAGTACGGGAGGACGAATGAGGATTGTCTTTTAAAAATCAAAACAAACAATACGAGCGGATGTGGAATATCAAAACAAACACCCGTAGGGTGTTGCTACCGGTGCGGTAGTGCGGCAGGCGGTACAACATTGATGACTAAACCCACACAACGACTCGCGTCAAGATACGATACAGTACTCCAAGCCTATGAAGATCACCACGCCGTTTGCCTAACGACTTCATACGAAGCGGCATCTAGCGTGCGGAAAACTACGTTGCCTGTGCCATGCCGGTATCCAGTATCATACCCAACCGCGCCGGAAATTCCTATAGCGCTGATTGCCAGAATACCCCTGAGTACCGAGCATACTCCACCGATACGGCAGCCTGCCGGTATTTCACTGCCGGTAGACCTACAATAATTCCCCTCCCACGGTAGACTATCTGTTCAGAAGTGTCATACCCAAAAATCGTCGATTTCGAAACCAATTGATGCTACAAGTGCTCGAGTAGTGCCCGCAACTATTACGTGTACTCGAGTAATTGCTACCGGACTTACCGGTAGCTCCGCAAGTACGGGACTAGTACCCGTACTGGCCCCAGGATCCCACGATAAGAGACCAGACATAGCGCTAAACCGCCCCCTAGTTTCACACACAGGCAGTTGATTAGACGGTGGTTAAGTGTGACAGAAATTCTAAAACACCAGTACCGGTACCGGTGGGCAGCAAGCGGGACCAGTTTATAGCACCGACCTCAGGCTCCCCCTCTCTTTTATCATCGCAATTCGCTATCCTGCTCCATGCCTGACCTGGTCGTGTCCACCCCACAGCGCCTGCCTGAACGGCGAGAGAAGTCGAGAGACTGGAATTCGACTCTTGCCCATCCCGTCAGTGATTCATACTTACAGTAACGAACCGCGCCATACCGGTAGTGTGAAGGTTGATAAGCTCATGTGCGCCGGTTCGATGCGACATAGAATTCTGTGTTTAAAGCGGCGGCCTAGTGCCCCGCGAAGCCCCGCCAGCTCACGGAAGGGTAAGAAGAAATAAAGGGGGGAGGAAGGAGTAAGGAAACAAAATAAACAAAACAGAAATACGAGTGAGATATTGTGATGGGAACAGATGGCTATGATAGCAAGAACAGGACATACTACTTTTTTTTTTTGTTAAATCCGCGGTTTATTTGTAGCTAGCTACAGGAAAATCCATGGCATGCAACCTAAGTTATGGCCCAAAACCCTTGTAACAAAAGAAACTTCACTCCCTTTTATAAATAATAAATAAATGGTAAATACCACATCCTATCCTGCCATCATTGAAAAACAATTTGTAGTCCTTGACACCAAACCAAGTTAGCATGTATGGTTCTTTTATGAAATTCTCCATCAATACAGGAGAATCCTGGTCTTTTTAATGCTTCTCTTCCATAACCTCAGACTAAAAGTGGACAAGTCTCTAGTCTGGGACTATGAAAGAGCACAAGCTAGGTAGTAGTAGGGTATCAGTTATGGTGGTTTTATCTTAAAAGATACCATTCTAGTACAATTATAAAGCTCCAAGTTTACTAGCTGTTTTCAAAAGTATTCGCATGGCTTGGCATCTTTTTCGCCTGTCCTGGAGCTAAGGCATCTGGGTACTTTTAAAAACGGCTGGTAGTAGCTAGGTATGATGATTGTGATATTAGGTTATGGTAGTAAAACCCGCTTCTCACCTTCATAATAACAGGACATTATTATATCCTAATTTTTGATACTTATTTCTTACCATATATGGTACTTATCCTAGAAGCTCCTACCATTTAAAACCTGACTCTCAGTTACTTTTGTTGGAAGTAGGAAAAAGTATGTGAACTTTAACTATACTACTAAAATCCTTTAAATTTTTGACTTGAGCAGGGGCTGTAGAGGTCCTATCTGATTGAAAAATATTTTCCCAAGGTACTATATATCTACTCTATATTACTAGGAAGATGGCTAAGCAATAATAAATTATTCGTCACATACTCCCAAAATTCATATTTTAACTGGTACTGGGGCATATTATAAAATGATGTTTTCACTCTATAACCAGGGTCATTATTGAGGTCTCGAATTGCAACTATACGCACCCTGAGACATCATACTGCAACAGTCACCTACTTGACAAGGAGGATGTTCCACTTATAACCCGAGTCTCCCTCTGGCGAGGCCGAAATCCCTCCCAGCCCGAGACAATACATCCAAAACGGCGCTCGATTCAATTTCTCTACCTTTGGCAGAGAGCATCACTGGCACCACTTTACGTCTTTTAGCGATCTTAAGTACAAGCGCAGTCCACTTTCCCACTATCCAGGAATGCTAGGATATCGTATCTACTGCGGGCGTCCCCTGAGCTTAGGGGAAAGCGCTCCTTAGGTCCTTGTTCCAGCGCTATTCCAGCATAGACTCTCCTCAGCCGGGGTCCACATTTCACTACACCACGAATTATCGTTCGTATCTTGCGCTGTCTTCCCGCTCACCGTCACTAATGAGGTCTGGGTACTCCTCTCCCCGGCATCTATTGGCAGTTTTCTTACTAGGCTCTTATACCCCCGCCCCCGTTCCCACGGCCACCACCCCTTCAGCCCTATTCTAACCGCCCCTTTTCTATTTGCTTGTCCTCAAATGGTTTGGAACTAAAAAAACCACTCTCAAATGCTCCCCCGTTCTCCTCAGATTCCTATGATTCCCTTGGCTCACCATAACTTCTGCCGCTGTTAACCTCCACACCTACGCCCCTCCCTCGATCAAGAGCCAATTTTGCCCGACTTGTCCAGGAATCAAATAAATACCGGTATTTGAATATCCCCGAGTTAGCTGGTCTCATATCTAGCGTGTAACCTCTAAGCCGATCTATTCGCTCTGCGAACGGGTGATACTCGTGCAAAACACTGCGATAATGTAATAACAGCACGACAAACAGTACACCGCACCGCACTGCCATTCCGGAAGACGTTGTTATACAACACCCACAATTACTGCCAGAGTTCAAAGAGAGCAACCCTCAATCAAGTATATCTCCTGTATCCCCCCTGGTATCTTGAGCTATCTTCGCGTGTCTAGCCATCATGTATCCCACCACCCTTCATTCCCATCGCACTTAGTAAAGCAATCATTGAGCATCACTCGCCCTAATTGAAAATTCCCATAAAACTTTTATTGTATCAACTGTATGCAAACCACCCTTTGCAGCCCTGCCACGCGCCAATTTGACCAGGCGAAAGGCTACTAGTAATACCCCGGATAGCATATACAGACCCCCTCGACTTCTTCCCCACACCCAACTCCCATACTTCCATCTGGAGCACGAAACGAAAATTGAAAAAAAAGGATAAAAATAACAGCATTAATGTTCCCGGTAAAAAAAAACGAAACCTAAACCTCCCTCGACTTCAGCTTTTTAGCCACAACGTAACCTTGCCTATTTAAAGGTTATGGACAGATTTCGAGAACCGCTCATACACACGCAACAAGGGAACAAAAAAGAACTAACAAACGGAACTCTGCAAGTAGGAGAGGGGGACGGATTATTCGACCCATTCAAGGATACAACCCTCAGATAGAAAAGAACAGGACACTAGCAAACGCGCAAGTGTGTAAGCAATGAATCAATGAACACCGCACACCGCCACCACCAATACAATGCATTACTCAGTCAATCAATACCTCTCGGTATTTCTTGCATACGGATGGTAACCTCCACCGCCACGCGCATACCCACCCGCGCCTCCAGCATACCCTGCCCTATCCGGTCCCACACCACCGCTACCGACACCGCCAGCACCCGCGCTGACGCCCCGAACAGAAGTCACGCCGCCACGCCCGCCGCCACGATAATTGCTTCCGGAGCCCTTTGCGTTACGCGGCCCCGTCGGGGCGTTCGGCGGTGGGCCATCGAAGCCGTTGCCAGACCGGCCAACACCTGTTGCTTGGTCAACATCATCCCAGTTGTCATAGTTTGATGGCCACGATGGTTGGAAGGGTTCATTCCTACCACGTCCTTGTTGCTGTTGTTGTTGCTGCGGCTGCTGCTGGGGCGGGACGTCATCGTACATCCCTTCCCAGGAGGAGGGTTGGGGCTGAGGGGGCTGGTAGTCACGCTGGGAGGGGTGGTGTTGGAAGTTACGTTGTCGGTATCCCGCGTTTTGGTCATTGTATGAGGATGGGTCGTAGGATTGAACTTGCTGAGATTGCTGCACACCTTGGGTGTGCGGGTAGCCGACCGGTTGGTTCGAGGAGGCGTATCCGACCTGTTGGGACTGGGGACCCGGGGATCCGGCACCGCCCATCTGGCTTTGTTGAGACTGCCCCTGCTGTTGTTGGCCCTGTTGCTGTAGTTGGTGAAGCTGTTGAAGCTGCTGCATCTGTTGGAGCTGTTGGAGCATCACGGGATTCATAGCATTCATGACTCCACCTCCTCCCCCTCCGCGTCCAAGTGCTTGCATGATCGCCGGGTTCATAGCAGGCATAGGCCCACCCCCACCACGACTAAACGTTTGCATGGCCTGCATATATCTCTGGACATTCTGGTAATATTGGGCCATCATCTGCGGGGAAATCCCGTTGTATATATTCTGCTGCCCAGCGGGCGCGCCCTGATTCTGCGAGGCGCCTGTACTGTAGTTGCCGTTTCCGTTGTTCCCACCTTCACGGCCCTCAAATCGATCACGACGATCTCCGCGATCCCTAAAGGACCCACCACGATCATCACGCTCATCAAAGTGGGCATTCATCCTCTCGCGGATATTCCCACGTGGTTGAGCCTTCTTAACCTCAATCTATGGATTATCAGCAAAACGGAGTTATAATACCAAGCTGAGGGCAAACTAACAGGTTTATCCAAGATGGCCAATGTGGGGCAATTCAGGGCATTCTCAACTGCCCCTTCACTATCAAACGTAACGAAACCGAACCCACGGGGCCTACCGGTATCCTTGTCCATCATTAAAGTAGCATCGAGAACTCTCCCAAACTGTGTGAAATACTCCCTAAAGTCGGCCTCAGTTGCTTCCTGACTGACACCACCGACAAATATTTTCGAAGTCTTCTCCTGCTCGTCGCGAGGAATCGCACGCTTAGGATCGATCTATGTATAAAAAGCGTGTTAACAACTCGTCAAGACACGATACATGAAATCGAAAAGGTAGCGCTCACAATTTTACCATCCAGATAGTGCTCCTTCACCATTACGATGTTGACAGTCTTAGGATCCTTGAAGGTCAAGAAGCCGAATCCCCTGGAACGCCCAGTTGGACCATCGCGCATAACGGTACACTCAACCACCTCTCCATACTGACTGAAGTATTCCTTGAGAGATTCTATCGAGCAACGAAGAGTCTTTAGTAAATATGTATATCAACAAACACCATCAATCTCAGTTGCTTGTGGCAAGGATATTGCAGGAACAAGAAGGAAAAAAAGGAATTTCATGCAGGTAAAAAAGTTTCATTTAATGCCTACCATCAGTTGTTTCCCAATTTAATCCACCTATAAACATTTTCCTATTAAATCACGAGATAAGTCTTAGTCAATCATCACCCATACCAAATAATACAGCAAGGCAAAAAATCAACGCCAATCAAATGCACGCATTTCTTGTTCTTTCTTTCCCCCAATTCTGAAGCGAGAGGATGGTTCCACAACACCGGCCACTGCCGAAAAACAACGGCAGCCACAACGGCGACGACTGCCAGGTTCATGCAGGATATAGCTTTGGCGTGAGGCAAATATAACGAAAAGGTCTCTTTTCTCGGGTAGAAGAAACTTTGACCAAGTAATCTTTCCATTTTCCAATCTTGCATTCCCATTTTCTCTTTTGCTCTCGTACAGAAACTATCCCGCGTATTTAATGCTGAATGTATCTGCTAGCTAGTTCTCGTATAGGCAGTGGTAGTGATAGTAGTAGGCAGCAGGTAGATGACAAAGCAGGCAGCTCTCCTAATTTCCATGGTCCTCTAGCGATCTCCCATGTCGGCGAAGAAATAGTAACCCCGCGATATAGTTGAAGGGAGGGAGCATCCAACGTCCACCCATAACCAGAATGCCCTCTCTACCCAGTCTATCTTCATTTAACGACCAACCTCTCCTTTCCCCTCCCTAACCCTGCCATTCGCTTTAAACCTGTATACCCTAACTTTCTACCCCGAAAGTTCCTTTAAACCAGCCATGACCATATACTCCATCCTCTCGCTTCGTATAATTCTCCAAAATGCTTGAAAACACAAGAAAAAGTGTAAACTTAAATACGCACCCATCCTCTTTGATAGCCGGACTACCCGTTGCCTGTGGGTCACCATAACCGGCGGCACCTATCCCGTCATAACCACAAGATCCACCGTCATTGTTGTGAATACCATGCCCACCCTGTCCACTAAGACCACCAGTTCCTGCACCCCCAGTGGCAACTGCAGCATCCCATCCACTGTAATTATCCGCATCATCCTCGACCGCATAAGGATTCTCAGTTTTGGTAGATGCATTTTGAACATTGACAGAAGGGGGAGGAGCTCTGGGATCAATTGCCTTTTGGGCCGTGACGTTAGAGGCAGCCGGTTCTTGAGGCTGCTGCTGCCCCTGTGGGTAGCTCGCCTCAGGGTTCCGCGGTGGCACCACACTTGGTGGTGCTGCTGGGGTGTTTACTGGAGAAAGGGGCTTAGCCGCCTTTACTGGTGCCGGAGCGCCAGCCTTTAGAGGTTCATCCTCACCGTAGCTATGAAAATCGTAGTTGTAAGCAGATATTAACGCGACGGGGGAGAGTGAAGGAGAAATATTGAAACAATACACACAGGTCGGCAAAAAGGTCATCATCCATCAACTCGTCTGCTTCCATTTTGATGAACTGCTAGTTAAATGGATAGAAAAAAATTAGACAAGTAGCCAAATAAGTTTTACCGTAAGTAGCGTGACTATTTTTCACACGAAGCGTCGTTTAATCACTAAGGTAAAAGCCTGATGACCTCGGGTAACCTATTCAATCAGGCTAGAGAAGGCGAAACAGAAAGGAAGCCGAGGAATGGATTCCAACAACCGACACACGAGTTGGATACGAGTGTAAGGGACAAGATTCCAGGGTGAGGAAGGAAGGAGGGAGGGTGTTGAGGAGAGAGAGGTGTGGGAAACAAATGAGGATGAGGAGGATGGGGGAAGATGAAGGAGGGTAAAAAGGCGGTTTCTGTGGTTTTGGAGCAGTAGGGGCATCCGGTGGCTTGGCGCGGATCAACCCTCGCTTGGGGCGATGAGGATCGAGCTGACACGGTAAACCCCAGCAACAGCAACGAGCCCATAGTTCAATTGTCATCACTTTACACTTGTGCAGGCGGCACAAGGAAAACATGATGAGGCTCTAGCCCCGGCACGAGCCTTAACCTATGAGAGACTCTTGTTAATGTAACTGACCATAGTATGATATAACTATGATACTCGCTTCTGTAATTTGATGCCCGCGAACCACCACCCGATGCATGGAACCCATCATCGCGAACATATGATATAGTTCGGGGAAAATATTTTCTAGGGCCCAGGGTTTCGAAATCCCACTAAGCAACTCCAATGAGAGACATTTTTTCTCATTAGTTCTTAGATGTACCCGAGCACTGAGTACCGGAGTACGAGTACGAGTATGATACCAGTACAGGTACCGGTACTCCAACCTTACCCCAGCGGCCAACCGACCACTGGCCCCCAAACTGTTATAATACCGGTGCCGGAAATTTCTCGGACCAACCTCACTCCTCTCCTCCCCCTCCCCTTCCTCCTCCCCTTCCTTTTCCTCTTCTTCTTGTTCTCTCCTCCTTTGGCCAGAGCTTCCTACACAAGGCATAATCAGTCTATCGTGAACCCCCTATCCTTTGATCTCCCTAGATTCAGTTATGCGAGGAAAATGGACCCAGCAGCACAAGCAACAAGAGCCGCAGCAGCAAGTAAGATGGAATCCTTCTTTTCTCTCCTCCCCCACTCTTTCGGTGAATCATTATTTTCCCATACCCTGTTACAGACCCCATTTAATAGCTCTAGCTAACTTTAGCTCTCTCTTTCTCTTCAGGAAATGATGCAAGTTGGCATGTCTTTCACCCCTCCCGATTGATATCATACTCCCTAGCACATCTGCCTCCAAAGACGCATATCCACTTATGAAACAAACACCCATTCATATCCTCCTTCTGTACAAAACCGCGAGCCTCCTCAGTAACGCTAATTGCAATCGCTCCCTCTCGCTCTCTGTAGATCGCTCAGAGTAATTCCGCCTTCCCCTCTGTCCATTTTCGCCCCATTTACACTCTGTTCTCCTCCCGCCCCATCTCTCCACTCCCCACCATTGACATGAGTGTACTCTGATTCTTGAGACGCACTAGCTCAGTCCCCCCTTTCTGGAGAGGCCGCTCAAGTAATTCCACCCAGGCACAGAGAGCGGGTTCGCAGTCGGTTTCCTGCCCCTATGCTAAATGTTCAAACTTCAAGTGTTTGTACCATAAAACTTATCGGTGACATCTCCCGTAGGACACGAGACCCCTCAAAAATTGTCGGCGCCTCATACTCACATGCCGACATGCTAAAGTTCGAATCACTGTATTTATCCTTCTCTTTTGTCCTAAGATCTTATCCTGTGCAGTCATTGTATCTCACCACCACCCCAGATCCGTTCAGCCAAAGCCACCAGCTGCTTCCGGAAGCCATACCCCCCCTCCCCCTTTACCGAACGGACCTATAAAGAGCTTCTCCGACTACATGAATCAGACAGATGAGGATTGGGATGCAGATGTAGGAGACGAGACACCAGATGACTTTCTACAGAACAAACTAAAGCCACCGCTATCCATTGAGCACCAGCCCGCCGTTAGCCCTAAGTTCGGGGGGGCCTCTAACAGTACAGATCTAGCTTCGAAGGGGCCGTCATACCCCAGCACAAGAAGGAAAGACAACCAGGGACTCAAGCCACAGTTCGAAGGCCTAGTCCGAGGCGAGTTTCCACCCCAATGTATTCGACTTGGTACAATAGCGAAGGCTGACCGCCCACACATACAGACCCCGGCAACTCCCTACACATGATCTACCATCCCACACTCTCCTTGGATACCCATACGGCGGCCGAGATAGAACGACTGAATGCTCGTATCAAGCGCATCAATAAATTTAAGCGGATCTTGCAATCGTCGACGGTGGACCTGAACGAGCTTAGGGAGATATCATGGAACGGAATACCTGACGAGCTCCGGCCAATGGCATGGCAGATGCTACTGGGCTATTTACCCGCAAACAGCGACCGTAGAGTCGGCACGTTGGAACGTAAGAGGAAGGAATTCATAGATGGCGTGAAGCAAGCCTTCGTCCGGGGTACTAGCGGGCTAGATCAAACCATATGGCACCAGATATCCATTGATGTGCCCAGGACTAACCCGCATCTTCCACTATATGGATTCGAGACGACCCAGCGCTGCTTAGAGCGGATATTGTATGTTTGGGCGATAAGACATCCAGCGAGCGGATATGTGCAAGGAATCAACGATCTCGTGACGCCCTTCTTTCAGGTTTTTTTGTCGGCTTATATAGGTGCACCCCTCAGCCGGGTATAGTGAACTCGTTTTTCTGATTTGTTTTAGATGGTGAAGTGGAAACCTTCGATCCCAGCTGTTTGCCAAAAGAAGTTCTAGATGTGGTTGAAGCGGATTCTTTTTGGTGCCTAACAAAACTGCTCGATGGCATACAAGACAACTACATTCACACGCAACCGGGGATTCAACGACAAGTCACGGCTTTGAGAGATCTGGTGCAAAGAATAGACGTAGACTTAACTAAACACCTCAGCGAACATGGCGTCGAGTTTATTCAGTTCAGTTTCCGCTGGATGAACTGCATGTTAATGCGGGAGGTTAGCGTGAAGAACACAATCCGGATGTGGGATACGTATATGGTGGGCCCATTAACTTACATCCCTTCGCAATATACTTGATACTTACAATTTCCGCAGGCGGAAGGACAATCTGGGTTTTCAGAGTTTCACCTCTACGTTTGTGCAGCGTTTCTAGTCAAATGGTCGGAGCAACTTCAAAAGATGGATTTTCAGGTATTTCCGTCTAGCGGATACAAACAGCATGCCAATTAGATGCTAACGGTAGTAGAACATAATGATGTTCCTCCAATCTATCCCAACGCAATCCTGGGGCGAGAAAGAAATGGAGATCCTCCTGAGCGAAGCGTACCTCCCTTCCCTATCCTCCCCAAAATTGAGGTCCGCGGCTCACGAAAAGCAGTTTCCTCTGGCAATCCCTCTTCCGAAACTCAAGCGCCCACCTCCGCCAGCAAACCCCAAATATACCTCCCCCAAGCACAAGCCCATGATATGCCAATCCATTCAGCCATCTTTCTCCTTTTTTACCGCAGCCTTTCCCTTCTAGATCCCACATGTACAATAATAACGAAAAAAAATACAATCAGGTCAACCTTCCCACCCCCCTTGAGCCCATCTATACTCTAGGCTCTACTCTAATACCCTCCCCCTTGGCCTCCTCCCCTCCCCTCCCTCCTCTCTGCCATATGCATCAAATACTCGGGATGTTTATGGGTAGCGGGCATGAAACCCAAGGCAATAGCGCGACGAATAGCCTTCGCCATCCTCCGCTGATTAACAGGCCTCAAGCCCGTCTCGTTGGAATGTTTAATCCTCCCCATCTCGGTGACGTATTCGCTCAACATACAAAAATTCTAGTCCCCCCCCCCCTGCGTTAGCAAGCATGCATAGATATAATGTGAGAAAGCATACCTTATACTCCTTAACCGGATTAACCCCCACCAAATCACACACGTCGAAGCGTGGGCTGTGGCGGGTGCGCCGCGACCGCTGCTGCGCATGCGAGAGGTCGTGCGGGGCGTATATGTCGCCCGGAAAGAAACGAGACTGTAGTCTCTGCAAGTCTTGGTCGGATATGTAGTCTTCCGGTAGGCTGGTTGGGGTCAGATTTGCGAGGGAGGCGGTGAGCTTTTGGGCTAGGTCCTTTGATGTGGGGGTGGTGGAGGTGGAGGTAGAAGGCGAGGGGGGTGGGGGAGGCCTGTCAGTCTGGCGGTGGTGGGTTGCGGTGAAGCATCTTTTTACTGTCCTTGTGAGAGGAGGAGACCGTATGAGGGGGAGGTGTGAGAGGAAGGAGAGTGTGGGGCGGGAGGGCATTTCGTCCTTCAATAATTTGTTTTAGTTGGCGATAGGTGTGGCGGCAGTGGTGAAGATGTTTTGATTCCGAGTCGCCGACTTGGTGGGATCATATCGGGAGGATGCCGATGTGTAGCTCTTCCCTGGTTGTGTGCGAGTAAGATACGGCAGGTAAATTTATTGTTCATTGACAAAATTAACCGAACACCCTGGTGAGTGTGACAACCCTATATATCCAGTTTCCTCCACAAAAATCATTACCACTCAACCACTATCCTATAATTAGGTTTTCATTTTTATTCCATGAAATAATGGCACCTATTCTTCACAGGCATGCCCACAAACCTATTCCTTCTAAGCATCTTAGCCAATGGGCAAAAGGGGGAAATTTATAGGTTAGATGAGAGAGCCATATCCTTAAGAGAAATTTCCAGGTCTCTTAACATTCCTTTTACTACTGTTTATACTAGAATAGTAAGAAGAGACCAAGAGGAAAAGGAGAAAGAGGGTGGGGGAAGACATCTTAAGACTTCCAGGACTTAAGATAATGCTATGGTTCAGACAGTCTTTAAAAACTGCAATACCACTTATAAAGAGATTGTTGAGAAGATTGTACTAGAAGTTTTAAGAGAACTATTAGGCACAGATTAGCAGACAAAAATCTTAAAAAATTGCAAGCTTAAGAGAGAGTATATCTTGATAAGGACCTTGCTCAGAAGAGATAAGAATAGGTACTGGCTTACAGATATTGCACAAAGAAGATGTAGAGTGGGAAAGGAATATAGAGTGATGAGGTTAAGGTTGAAAGGGGGGTGGGGTGGAAAGAGGAGAAAATAAATATTTAGATATTCAAAGAAGAAGTAGAATAAGGACTATATTGAGCCTATTACTAGGACAGAAGAGAGAAAGGTTAGTTAAATAATGAACTGGATTTTTTTATGGTGAAAAGCATGGTCTATTTCTTCCTGTTTTTTCCTGATTTATCTTTTGGTAGTAGTAGGATTACTGGAAAGTCAATTATTAATATTTTTAATCAACATGATATTGTTAGTATATAAGAGGAGATTAAGGAGCAGTTAAAAGGGGAAGAGTATTTCTTAATCTTGATAATACTAAGACTCACATATGTTTTAGGAGATGACTTAAGAAATATGTAATTATACAATTAGAAATTGTACCTTACTCATCAGATCAAAATCCAATTAAACATATCTTGTCTCTAATTAAAGATAAGTCTGCTAAGCATTATTGTAAACTCATCATATAAAGGGTTTTAGGAATATAGTCAAAAATGCTACTGAAGAAGTAATTACTTGTTGTTGGCAGCCTGAGCTTCTTACTTTAAAAGTATTCAGTACTCTTACTAGATCTATAGTAGTATTAGAAAGTAGATAACTTGAGAGACAAGCAAGTATATATAAGGACTAATAATTTTCTGTTCTGAAGATATTTAAGAGGGCTTGTCAGATAGAAGTTGTTATGGCCACTAAGAATAGGTTAGCATAGTTCCTGCATATGAATTTCCTTCATAGCAGAGGGGTTAGGTGTCTTGTAGGATAGGGTAATTGACTTGTGTAACAGAAAATAATGGAAGTAGGAGACACATTGCAGCTGTATGTGATCTGGAAAGGATTACTGATCAATGAGTTTCCTTTGTCTATATATTAAGATGTGCCTCTTATAAGTTTACTTTTTTTCATGCTCCGCGCCCTTTACTTTCCTCTTGCTTAAAAACATTACCGTATTCGGCCAGGTAAAACTCTAGGGTTTTGCGTGGCAACCATCTCCACAGACCTAATTCCTCCCCTCGCTTTGGCTTCAGTCTCTAAGTGCACAGCCCTCTCACTATCCCGCACAGCCCCTTCATCATGGAAGGGTCTGGTCCTGGACCTTCAAGGTCTGGCTCTCGAGCCTCCAACTGCTCTGCGCTTTATGAGTCAAGGACTCCAACTCCCTCCCATCCCGCTTATCTCTCTCTGGTAAGAGAAGAGCTAGCCCGCACTCTCCATCACATAGGGCGGGCTGCCCCCCCGATTCCCCCCCCAACCGACTCCGAGCTTCAAGAACGGTCTGCCGGCGAAGCCATCCTCCTACCACTACTCTGCACTGCCCTCTCTGGGATCGGCAGCATCATCCAAAGGCTAGAGGCCCTTGAGCAGTCTTCAGCGGCTGCCCCCAGGGACCCTCCCTCTCTCCCCACTGTAGAAGCCACTGTCCGGGACCTCTCTTTGAGGGCCATGGCATCAGCTGCACGCCCCCTGGCTGCCCCGCTGGGCCCCCCCCCCTTCTCCTCCCCCAAAACAGACGAAGCGCCTGCCGCCTCCCCCCCCCCCCTGCTCCCCCTGGAGCAAAGTACTGCCCCCCTCCGGGCTATATCCTAGATATCCCAGTTGAGGATATCGACTCCCCTGTGCAGGTCGACGGAGTGTGGTATGGAAACCCACGCACCTTTGCGGCCAGACATCCCCGCTCCTTTGCAGCCTTCCAGTTCACTCAGGGTGAGTTCCCGGAAGAGTCTACCTTCTGCCCAGGCCCCGCCCCCTCCTTCCTCATGCTAGTTCCCCCCTCCTCCTCCTACGCCAGCACTGCAGCCTCCTCCAGGGGCCAAGTACAGCAGACCAGCGCCAAGGGCAAGAAGAAGACGACCACTGAAGCCCAAGTCGCAGTGTCAGGTGGTGCCCCCTCCCAGGTTCTGGAGGCTGCTTCCCTACCAGCTGCCGAACGTCGCTTCTTCGCACCCCGGACTGCCCCGGTCCCCTATTCTGACGCAACAAGCCTGGCGGCCACCGCTCCCGACATCGTAGCCTCCGTCCTCTAGGAGGCCAACTGTCCCTTCCCCGTTTCCTTCTTAGCCACAGTTAATGCACGTGGCGTGATTACTCTGCTTGCTACCGATCCCCTCACGCCTGCCACCAGCTACTCCCCCTACTATCAGGCGCTTGCCAACAAAATCAACCAGTCCTTCGCTGTTGGGGACAACCCCTACGGCCCATTCCGTCCCGCACCCAATGAGGTCCAGCTCATCATCCACGGCCTTCCAGTCGCTTTCCTCCTGCAGGATCAGAATGACCTCTTTCCCGCACTCGCTGAGTCCATTAAGAATGCCAAGGATGTTGATATCTTTGGTGCACGGTACCTCCAACCCAACCCCCTCCTCCGCAAGGCCACCACCTTGGTGGTCATCATCGTCGCCCCCTCCAATGTGGCCCACATTGGGTCCAAAATCCTCCTCTACTCCAAGCTCCGCAATGTCCAGAATGTGGTCTCCAAGAACAAGTTCATGCAATGTAGGCATTGCTGAAAGTTTGGCCACCCCACGCCGGCATGCACTGCTACCATTCCTGTCTGCCCGATCTGTGCATCGAACCACACCAGAGCTAACCACCGCTACCCCAACCCAACGTGCCCCAAGCTGGGCTTCCTCAAACCCGTCATCGGCTGCTGCCCGGCCTCCCCTTCCAAGTGTACAAACTGCTCCGGCGGCCACCCCGCTACTGACAGGTCCTGCCCTTCTCGCCCTTCCCAGCCAACGCAGCAGACTTCAGGGTCTAAGGCGGAGGATGAAGAGGAGGACGACACTATGGACCAGGACGACACCCTACTGGGCGAGGCTCACACACCCACCCCCGCCCTCCCAGATGCCGACCCTTTGGCCACCCCCTGACCCTTCGCTGCCCCAGTGCGCCGCGCACATGTACCCGCCTTCCTGTGTGCTGGTTTCTTCGCCTCCCTAGGGGAATCTAGTAGTCCGTCTCCGTTCCCCTCAACTTCATTTCATAAGTGATAGTACGACCCATGGATCCAAATTTGGTGGACTGATTGCCGCCAACCCCTACTTTCCTGCCATTTCTTTCCATCGTTCAACATAACTGCTTAGGGAGCTGGAATGTTTTTCTTTCCCTGTTTAACAACCTTGCTGCGCTGTCCTCTCCTCTCCAGGTAGTGGCCCTGCAAGACCCCCCAGTCTGGCGGGGAAAGCTGCCGTCCTTTTCCATGTATAAATGCTTTTCTCCCCCTGTCGCCTCAGGCCGCAAGCCTAAGGTAGCTTTCTTTGTGTACCCGGAGCTCCTTGGAGCCTACCCTGTTCTTCCCTATTTTTTTGATTGACCTGACCTAATGGCACTGGATATCCACTTGCCTAGGGGCCTGTTTTTATCGTCTCTCCATGTTTTTTGGATTGACAATTTGTATTCCATTAATTTCGTGTCCTCCCACCGTTGGACAGTGTCACCGGCAGATGCTTTCCCCCTTCATGATTTTCCCACCCTCACCCTTGGGGACTTTAACCTACACCACCCCCTTTCTGACCCTTTGCACCAGTTTTCAGACCACCATCTCCTGGTATCCTCTTCCTACTTTGAAGCGGCCTTCGAGGCTAGCTACAGCCTACTCAACACTCCTGGCATCCACACCAGGTTCCCCTTTGACTTGGCCACTAGGCCTGGCATTCTCGACCTAGCCTTTGCCAACAAGCTTTTGGCTCCCTTCCAACATTCCTGGTTGGCTGATCTCCCCTCTACCGGCTCAGACCATGTCCCCATACTCATCAAACTTTTCTCTCCCTTAATGCACAAGGCCCCCCCAAGCCCAGACTGGGACAAGGTGGACTGGCCGCCGGTACTTGAGGCCCTGCAAGGGGTTGACATTCCACAGCCGCCTCCCCTTCCCACAGCTTCTGCCCTTAGTTCTTGGTTCGATCGCCACCTCAGTGCACATTCAGCTCTCCTCTTGGCCCCTGCCCCACCAAAATGCCCTTCTCTTAGGTCTAAGCCGTGGTGGTCCCCGCTTTTGACCTTGCTGCGCCGTGCTTTTAATGCCGCTGCCAGAAGGTCCCGCTTCTCCCCTTCACCCACCCTCAGTGACGAGGCTGGCAAGGCCCGCTCCCTCTACTTTAAGGCCATCAAGAAGGCAAAAGCAGAGCACTGGAAGAGCTTCCTGGCCAAGGTTGACTCCCGCTGCATTTGGACAGCCAGAAGGCTTGCTACTGGAAGAGCCCCTGACCGCTTCCCCTCTTTCCCACG